TTTGTTTTAATGGATGCATCCTGTTGTTAAAGTACCTGTCTCTTCCTAAAACAGTGGTTTTCAAACCATGAGATCACATTTTATGGAGGACAGAAGAAACAGTGCAGTGGAACTAAAGTTGAATGAGTCTGACTCGTGTGGAAATGTTACACCCTAATAGGGGAAGACATAACTTGAGTTAGAAACAACAGCAACTGTTCTCAAATCAGTATATTTCATGACTGATATACTGGCCAAGGATCCACTGTGTATTAGTGATATCTAGTGGTGAAGTAGCAGATTGCAACCAACTTCCATAGGACTACGGTGGCAGTCACCTGCTAGACCTTTTTTTCAGCTGTTCTTAAGTCATAAACACAGAAGAGAAAACAATTTAGATCAGACAGAGAAAAGTGATCACACAAATATGATGAAGATTTTGACTAACCGCCCGAAGCACTTCATGATGTTAGGTCAGGCAGGTTGATGGAGGTGACTGCTACTGGGTGGTAGTCGTTTAAGAAGAGGGCTTTAGACTTTTTGAGGACAGGGACAATAGTGGCCTTTTTGAAACATGCGAGCACTACAGACTGGAGCAGTGAGAGGTTGAAAATGGATGTGACATCAGCCACTTGATCTACACACTTCCTCTTCAAAAATATTTATTTTCCTTTAGCAGGGTTCGTATTATAAATAATAAATTATTATTATCCTCAATCAATGTCAATCAATGCCCTCCATCAGACCCCCCCCCAACACCCCTACACAGAGACTTGCATTTATTTTAACAGGCTGTTATGTTGCAAAGACTATTGCAAATCCACACTTGTTATATCTTTTTTTCTGAGCTTTACACAGGCTTGTATCTAAAATTATATTCCACAAAATATTCAAATCCTTCTCATGTCTCTCTGTTTCCAGTCACAGACACATACTGCCTCAAGGGCCTCATCACCAATGTTAGTGATCCTGTCATGACTAAGGTTGGTCCCCATGGTAAGAGCTACATCTCTGGTTCGTGGGGCAAACAGGCCCAGATGGACAGTGAGGGACAGAAGAACAGCTACTGGGTTCAACCTCTGGTCAGCACCCACATCTGGGGCAACACCCTGCGTGTCTACCAAACCTACGAAGACTTCATGGCCTCTGCCAACCACAAGGACTACACCTTCGCCCCATCCTACAGTCACGCTAACAGCATTGAGGGACCCAGTGCTGTTCTTTATGGTGAAGCTCTGTACTATCACTGCTACCGCTCTGCAGACATCTGCCGCTACGACCTGAACAGCAACACTGTTAAACGGGTGACACTTCCAGGCACCGGTGTGGGTTTCAACAACAAGTTCCCGTACTGTTACTATGACTGCCGTGCCAATAGTGATGTAGATGTGGAGGCAGATGAGACGGGACTATGGGCCCTTTATGCCACTGTTGGTAACCATGGTAACATGGTGGTGAGCCGGCTAGTTTGGGACAGTGGGGCTGAGACGCTCAATGTCTCGCAGACGTGGGAGACGAGGCTGTTCAAGAAGGCGGTGAGCAATGCTTTCATGGTGTGCGGTGTGCTGTATGCCACTCGTTACGTGGACGAATACCACGAGGAGGTGTTCTACGCCTTCGACACAGCAACGGGAAAAGAGGACAACTCACTAGCACTGCCACTCGAGAAGGTAGCTAAAGGAGTGGCCAGTCTGAGCTACAACCCCACCAACAAGCAGATCTACATGTACAACGATGGATATCTACTGGCCTACCAGGCCCACTTCTGATCTGAAGCTGTTCAAGTAGTTGGAAATGGCAATTTCCATTTTAGCCCTGTTCATTTAACTACTAAGATTTAAATGAAGCTAGTGAAGGTCCAGCTCAAAGACTATGTCATAATATGTAATATGATATATCGTGATGATCCATGAAGTTAGCCATTGTTAGCTGTCAGGTACTGCATGTTGTTCGATTTGTAGGGCATATCACATACCGTATGTTGTAACAAATGTTTGTAATGTCACAACAATGAATGGATAAAGCTAAAAAAGCAATAAAATTTGTGTCACTTCTGTTGTGAAATCTTTCTGCTGGAAAAAGCATCTATCGTAAACCCTACCGCAAAAATACACTTATAAAAGCTGAGCATAAACACTCAAGACACCTCAATTGCAATTTTCCTATTGGCCAGTTCTTGACATTCTTAAAGATTTCCAGTCTAAAAATGTTGAAATGAGAGAGCTTTTCCAAAGTAAGGTTTATCCTACATCACATATCTCTACATACAGTGAGGGATATATATAGCAACCACCACTCATAGATCACTTTCTCTACTGAGTGCTGAAAAGTGACACATCCCTAAATAATATCAGCTTTGTACCTCCCATGATCATGTTCGTAATTGTAGCTTACCTGGTAGAGCTGGTGCCCCATGTACCAGGATTGGGTCCTTGCTCGGGCGGCCATGGGTTCAGGTCCAACCTGTAGCCCTTTGCTGTGTGGTTGTCTAATCAATCTACAATTGTTGTTTTTCATGGTTGCCACTGTGCACAATGTTCTAACTTTTTGGACACCAAGTATAGACTACACATCCACATACTGGTGAAAAATACTCAATTAAATCATTCATTAACTGTACAAATGTTCTCTTTCATGAACACAGTGGAGCCTTTTGCAATTAACCAAGAACTGAATTTGCCTTGTTTAGCACACTTGATGTTTGTTTGAGTCTCTTTGTGTCTGAAATGGTTTAAGTTAACCCTATGTGTTGTTTGTCTAATATCTTTGTCCATTTTGACTCTGATGAAGAAAAAAAAACAACATGAAGCACAATCAAAAGCTATGAATTAATCAGTGTGTTCCAGTCCTCCTTTGTGATCTGCAAGTTTGCTCTCCTTGAGAAGCACCTGATTCAGCTGCATTTTTCTGAAAGATGCCACTAGATGGCAGCAACGGTAGACATTTTCAATCATACAGGTAGTGTTTTTAAACCTATATTCATTGTTTTTGGGCACTTAAGGGGAGCACAAGAATCTCAGACTAAACATTTAGGATACAGTGTTGCATTGTGGGTGATGTAGGCATCCGATTGAGCAAGAGAAGAATGACTGGAATAAAAAAGACGATGTCTCTGGTTCTGCTCGATTGATTTAGATACTTTCCTTTAAAAATGTTCCGATTCAGCCAATGCTGTAAAGAGTGCAAGGCATTTTGATGCATTGTCCTTCAATGTGCTGTCAGCTCGCACACATGCTGTAAAGTTGTCTGAAATCAAGAATATCAAACATGGCATGTATAAAATAACACTAAATACCATACAAAGATATGTTTGGAATGGGCAGAATAGTAATCACTTTATTCACACACAAAGGAACTATCATGTACAGTTTCAAGGTGGATCAGGGAGCAGAGCTACATTAAACAGTCCATGAACACAGTTTGAATATGACTGTAGCTGCTTTTAACTTGTGAACACTCCCACTAACCTCTGCATGTGAGCAGGTGAATGTGCAGTCATGTGTCATTGTTATAATATGATCACTTCCTCATTGTGGTTCATGCCTAGGTGAGTGTGGTTCATTATGTGTATTATTTAGTTTCTTTTCTTATCTCTCCTGTTCCCTGCCACATACAAATATATTGTGTTTAAATTATGATCTGGTGTGAATGACGGTTTGAACCAGATTCAGACAGTGTTTCTAGAATCAAACAAAATATGATTCAAATGCAGCTTTTAACCAACAGCAGCACTTAAAAGTTTGGTTGTCATGAATCATGACTCACCTTGTGCTGTCAGTGTACCGAGGCTAAAGTAGCAACATTTCTTAACTATGCTGTTTTCATACTGTCATATTGTTTTGCCAACAAAACCTCATATGGTTCTGTCAAAATGTGGTTTACAACATTGTAAGGGTAATATGAAAGTCTTTTAAGTGTAATTAGGTCTAACTGCAAAATATGATTGAATCTTAAGAGAAGAGAATCATGATGCAACACAAAATTAAATGAACTTAATAAATTCCTAAACTGAATTCCAACAATACATATCAAATGAAATAAGAAAAATAAAATGTAAATATCGACAGTATTCTGCATTATCACACTATTACTCAACTATTACTGATAACTGAATGCTTAAATAAAAGGAAAAAATATTGGAGTTTATGGTAGAGGACTGGTATTATGCACTGTATGGTATATAATGAGAGAGCACTTATAACAGGAATCAAAAGTATACTATACTAGTATAAACTATACTGTTTAACTGAAAAGATTTGATTTTTATTTATGCTGTTGGCAAAAGATCACATATATTTGTAGATGTATACTGTGTTATACAAAACATTTTATAGCTAAATATCATGATAATCTATAAAATACACAGGAACTCTGCTCTCCTCCCTCAAAAAACCCAACCAGTTTAAAACCCCAGTTTTTACCAGTGCATCATTCAGATAGAGCAGACAGTATGTGGAGGCTGGAGGTCATTTGTCCCTCAGGCCGCAGTAACCGAATGATGGAACGGAAATCTAAATCTAAATTTTAGTTTGTGGGTTTGAAGAGATTCATATACATTACCTGTGCTTCAGGATTCAGGAACAGAGTAACCACGGTGCACTAAGCATACAAGATATCCACTGGAGAAAGTCAACACCCAGACAGACTTCTTCTTGAATGATTCATTATGTGTTTTTGCTTATGTGTTGTTACAGCATTCGTTGTGCTCTTGTAATGGTACCACAGGTATACACAACATTTTTTAAGTGATTGCAGACTGTATTATCATGCTCCACTGTACCAGACAGAGGATTCAGCTAATTAAGTAGACTCAAACAGCACACATTGGGTGTTCTCAAATAATTAATTTGATCAGATGTTCAGTTTATAATTTGTAGCTAAATGCCAGAGGTTTGACCCTAGGCATGGCAGTTCTTCCAAAACTTTGGTCCAGACTGAAATATCTCAACATTGACAAGATGGATTGCCATGAAAATTTGTGAATGGATTGGTAAAAAGACGACACTTATATAGCATCTTACTAGTCTTCTGACCACACTTTATTTTAGTCAAAGTGGTGAATATAGTGACATTAAAATTGAAACACATTGCACCTTTTTACACCAAACTTTATCTGCCAAGCATTTGCAGCTATCTTTCTTGCATCAAAAAAATTCTTCCTATAATAATAAGGCTTTTAAAGTGAAACATCTCCAGGAAGTGTGATTGATAGTACCTTAACACTTAAAGAACAGCAAAGTAGAAGTGACTAAATTTAGTACTGAGTAGACAGGCTTTGGTGGAAAATGTTGTCAGCATTATCTACTTATGAAAACAGAACCTTATAAGAAACCATGTGGGAGTCACAGTAGGCATGAAGCATTTGGTCCACAGGGCTGTAGTTCAGGGAATTAATGTTGGGAGACATCTTGTTGATGAACACACCAATGTCGAACCTTTCTACCCCTGTTGTGGTGTCAAACGAATAGAAGATCTCCTCCACTTCTTTGTTGACGTACCGTGTCGCATAGAGCACACCACAGGCCATGAATGTGTTGGTAACCCCCTGCTTGTAGACCGAGGTGCGCCAGGTTTGGCCGAGTGTCAGCGGTTCACCTTCCTCTACCTTGGACAGCACCAGGTTGCCAAAGTCCTGTTTGCTGGTATAGATCACCCAGACGCCTGACTCATCTGTCGCCAGGTCCAGATCGGTGTATGGGTAGCATTCATCAAGATGGCAGAAGTTACCCTTTGAATTATACCTTGAAAAAAACCACAGGACAGAAATTATGTTTCTTTGGAACTATATAATCTTTCACATGTTAATTCATACATTTGTAGTTTTATATTCTTGCTCTGTTGTTCTTAGAAAACTACACAATTCAACATTTACTTTCAAATCTGAAAGATTTCATGACATCAGTTATTTATTGTAGAAACATGGCACTAATTGTGGCATCAACAAGACTCATTAAAACAATGAGCTTAAAGAGAGTTAAGTGGCGAACCTAGTGCCTTTGGGTAGCTGTAAGGTGGTAACAGCTTTGGTGGTGAGGTTGAATCGACAAACAGAATCTTGGTTGTAACAGTTGTAGTATAGGGCCTCTCCATACAGCACAACATTGGGACCCTGGATGGTGTTGGTGGTTGGGTTAGAGGAGTGGATCTCAACATTACCTGGAAGAAGAAGAAGAAGAAGAAGAAGAAGAAGAAGAAGCAGGAGTTTGTTAATATTAAAGAAATTAAAGAGTTTTGGGTGCATTACTTTTTTAAGGATAAGTCTGGTGATATATTTTTCTTATCATCAGCAAATCCCATGAAAAGACCCAAAAGAATAATGAATTCTAGAGCTTTGATCTGGCCAAAATATCAGGCCCGACCCAACCCAAGCACGGAAAAAATTCTGTGCAAGCCTCAAACCACAAAAGCAGTTTTGAACCTGAACCCAAATTTCTCCTTAAAATAAATCGGTAATTGAAATTGTTTATTAAGAGCTAAAGTGTGCATGTAATAAAGCGCAAATTATTATCAAAACTAATAAAAAAATTCACTCATTAATTACAGATGGGTTAGGGTTGGGTTTATATTATATTAAATATATATATTTTTTTTTAAATCTAATTTTGTACAAGCCCAACCCGAGCCCGACCTACGGCAGCATGTCTCATCGTTTTTAGGCCAATTAATTGATTCTACTAAGTACTGAACTTCATTGTCGTCAACAAAAACTATTGAAAAACACCACACTGTTGCACTTAGTGACATGTTCATCACTCACCATGAATACACACACTCTATAGGACATTTTGGCTCAATTTCACATTCACCAGAAAGTCTGTAATACGTGCTCATTAGAAGTATGTATTGCACATGTATTGTACACTGAGCTAAAAGGTTGTACATTTCTAACACAAGAGTTCTTTACCTGGGGTGCTCACCCCAACAATGAGAGAGCTCAGGCTGGAGTAGCGACGGACGTAGTTGGCGTATATGTTGCTGGAAGTCAGCATTACCAGCCAATACCAGTTCTCCTTCCCCGCCTCTGGTTTGGGATCCTGACCCCAGGCTCCATACTTGTAGGAATCAGGGTACTCTCCTTGTGTGTGCATCCTCACCCTGGTAATGTTTCTAAATTCACCATGGGGACAGTTACCTTGGGAGAAAAATATAAAATGAAGCAATGAAGAAAGAAACTCTGCCAATGCAGGGAAACTAAGTAAGTACAGTGCGAGGCATCCACTGGTTGATAATAACTTCCTAATTGTGATGATTGGTGCTGAGAGTTTTCCACCATTCATTTATACCAGACATTAGCCCTTAGTGAGGAGGGCCTGTTACAGTTCAGAACAACATTTAAAGTGTCACTTTCTGGTGCACACACAGTGGACAAAGAACCAGAATGCCCTCTGATGCTTCTGACAGTGTGGTGTGTAGTGTGGTTTTAGCAACATACGTTGTGGAGGAGTGGGTTGGGCGATGGGGTAAAGTCGATTCCTGCACTGGTCCAGGTCTCTCTTCAGCTGCTTGTTGTCTTGTTGTCTCTTCACCACCTGCAGGGTGTCGTACGTCTCCAGCTGCTGCATCTCTGCTCTCAGGTCTTTCAGCTGAGAAACAGCAACAGAACAGAAATCCCAGTGTTAAGTCAAAAGATAGTGACTGCCTTATTCAAACCTCACCAACAAACTCAAATTTATCTTAAAAACAGAGCTCCCATATGGAATTAGTTTTTCAAAATAAAATAGATCAGGACCGCATATAAAAACATTTTGTCTGACTAGTTGTTTAAAATGCAAGCTGTGAGGCAGATGACAATATTAGCAGTCCCATATAAAGGTGTAAGTGGTTTCTATACCTATCTGATGAGCTTTCAGTGATGCATTCACAGTCAAGAGAGCATGTTTCATTTTTACCAATTATATCAAAGATCAATCTAGATTTTGGTGGTGTTTATCACTCTGTGTGAATTAACCTGTTTAGTGGTGTCAGCAGTTAGACGCTGGTGTCCCAGGGTGGTGCCGTTGAGCCTGTCGAGAAGCTGCTTGATCTCAACCATTTCATTCTCTAACACATACAGGCTGAGAACTGCATAGAGCTGTCCGTCATCCTCCCTCTCCAGCATCGACACATCTTCCTGCAGCCGGGGCAAACGTCGCTCCAAACCCAACAGCAGACTCTCCAGCTCCAGAGTCTGCAGAGAAAGCAGGTAGAGATTGTGAGCACACTAAGGACTCCTCCAGCATGAACGCATACACACAGGAGTCTTATAATAGTTTTATTAGGGAGGGAGGTTGTGTTCTTTAGTCTGGTTTAGAAAATAATGACGAGTTACCTTCTGTGGGGTGATGTTGCTGTTGCATTTTGATGCATCGTTCTCCACTGTGCTGAGTTTGTCATGAGGGAATGCCTTCTCTGAATTAGTCAACTCACATGCACACTTATCACGTGACGGTGCCTGAAATCAATATCAAACATTGCTATGTTAAGTAAATGTAAATGTATCTTAATTTGAAAGTGTATGATCATTTGCAATAAAATTAAAGGAGCTCATTAAAAAACAGAATAATAATCACTATATTCTTAGTGTTTTCTTACCTGTTGGGTGAGGGTGAACAGAGCACACAGAGGAACAATCACATACAGCTTCATGGTGGATCAGAGAGCAGAGGTAAATGAAACAGTCCCTGCACGCAGTTTGAATATAACTATAGCTGCTTCTTACTTGTGGACACTCCCACCAACCTCTGCATGTAAGTGAGTGAATGTGCAGTAATGTGTCATTATCCTCCAAAATATGATCACTTCTTCCTTGCGGTCGGGATTGCAGCAGCACAGGAATTTTTTAAACAGAATAATGAAGGGAAAAACCCATATATACTGACTTATGTTAATTATGTACAATTTTAAGATATTTTGAACAAGAAATATCCCTTTCGGAAACCATGAGTAATACCAACACATTCTCATTCCAGTCAAGTACTGATGCCATTTTGCATTGCCCCTTGGTTTCTTATACTAAAGCACAAGGTAACCTTTAGCGTCTGTATGAGAAGCCTTTTTAACAGGTGTGAACGTTATGAAACAGTCGCTGTTTGGTTGGGTTATGTGATTATAGAAGTATTTTATTCAAAGTCAGAGGGGCGTTTTTAGACTGTTTTAGATAGGGGGGCACAAGAGGGGCACTGACTTATGCCAGGGTGGCATCAAGTATGTGTCTCATCTTTCCAGTCATTCCCAACAGTGTCTATGGACCCCAGTCTGCAGAAATATTCAATACACTAGGTGAAAATAACACTTTTATACCTCATGCAAAGAACTGCATGGTTGTTGCTCCAAAACTGCATATGGGATTAGCATAAAGTGTTTCTGAAAAAATGCACTCAGACTCTGTAATTCATGATGCATCTTTTGTGTCTTTTTAGACTGTACATGATGTACTGTGCCAAAAATTGATATTCATCATATGTAGTAGTAGCTAATATAGTTTCAGAAGTAATTAGGTGGTGTTCCCTATTTGAACCATTTTTTTTTTACACTTTTAAAACTAGTAAAGTAAAACTAATTCTTTAAAAGTATTTGAACCAGTTTGAACTACAACAAGATGTAATGTATAATTCAAGGCCAAAATTCTGCTTGATATGCATTTACATCCTTAACTTTGGCTTGTTTTCAAACCATTTCTCCTCTAATTTCAGTAAGAGCCTATTTTTCATCAGGGATGTAAGAAAATATCGACACACTTGAGTATCATGATATTTTGCTATATTGTATAGATTCTCAAAAACGCTGTATTGATTTTTGTGTTTAAATCCCCAACCATTGGATGGCAGTGTTGTAAACTGAGGGCTAGATTGTATACATTTGGCAATGTTTTCTTCATACTGTAGTTTTCCTAAACTTTGTATTTAAAAAATTGCAATTTATGGTTTTGCTCACAGTATTGCAATATATTGAATCGTAACCACTGTATCATGATGCAGCCCTATTTTCACATCACAGCTTGAATTATTCCTGTAGATACAACATATCCACCCCCTTAAAAAAAAGAATAAATCTCCTTTGGCCATGGTGACCTGTGTCAACATAAATACTTTTTATTTACTTTATTTATTCTTTCCTCTGTCATTTTGATTGGATGGTTCCACAGTCGTATAATTTAAATTTTTTGCTGTGCAGACCCTATATCCAGCCTGTGTCTCCCTGGATTTCTGGAATTGAGGCAAATCTATAAACCCCCAGAAAACATTGTATATCTCTATTCTGTGTGGTGTCTACTGTTTAAGTTTGTTTCAAGCCCCACACTCCTGCGCAATAGTTCAGTATGAAGGAAACACATCGTAAAATTGGGTATATGTGGAAAAACATAAGATCACAGATCCCAGCACTCTCCCATCAGAGTGAACGAGGGACTCAATTCCAACCTCATTAGTCAAGTCAAGTAAGATCTATACCTCTCTATTTAGCAGTGCGTCATTAGAAACAAATATTGCCTTCAGATACCAATTCATATCTCAAGCTGAGTTTTTCCACTGCTCATTCAGATAGAGCAGGCAGTCTGTGGAGGTCAGAGGTTGTTGGTCTTTCAGGCTGGGGTTATTTGACTGTTTGATGGGAAGGAAATCTAAATGTAAAAGGGAAGCTGTGAGTAATACCTGCTGTTTTATATATATATATATATATATATATATAGATATAGCAAATACCGTTTCTGTGCTGAATATATGGTTACAGGATTCAGGAACAGAAAGTAAGCACTTTGCACTGAAAATATCCACTGGAGAAGTCCCACATCCATTTTTATTGAATATTTAATTCAGTGGTTTGTGTTATACATCCAATGTGTTGTGTAATAATTACTAACTCTGACAAATATTGTGATATAGTGCGAACAACGACACAGTGAGTAACGTAACTAACATTAGTGTTGGGTTATGTTATGTTATGTTGGGTGGGTTTGCAAAGTTGTTGCATTGAGTAAGGATTGGACAGTTTCCCAGAGAGCACAGCAGTTCCAGAGAGCGAAACTCTCCTGCAACTATGTGCGTTGATATTTCAGAATTAATTTACACCTTTCCTATTGTATCATGTAACACTATGGCAGTCCATTCGCACTCCCAAGTTGTCAAATATGGCAGCTTGGTCAGTCACCTTACACTACAATCTATGCATAGGGTCAATGATGGATGCGCTTGTCTGACGTAATGTTTTGATGCTGTGAAGTCAGTGAGAAAGTCCGGATTTAAATTCCGGTTGAAGACCATACATTTTTTTTTATTAGTATTTTGGAGTAGGCGAAGGGTGGAGTATTGGATACTGTTGAAGCTGTGTTGCAGGGAAGACAGGGTACTATTCAGCAACATTATTTATGTATATAGCCTTTTCCTAGACCTAAAAGTAGTTTTTGTGTCTAAACCTGACCAAACTGCAACTCATATAATGTAAAATGTTTGTCAGCAAGCTTTATTTTAAAAGTGTAATCAGACGTTGCATCCTCAGTATTGCTAGCTTGACCGGATGTTGTTGCTGACCATGGAGCCCTGTACATTCGGCTTTGAAATACATACTCTTGTTGTATGCTGATAATTCTGCATTAATGGTCTCTGGGAATGATGTCAGTGAGAGAGTGTGAGAAATTACAGTACATCTTGGGGCCTTGTTGGAAGTAAGTTTTTTATGTTAAATATACAGGGTTTCCCGCAGGAAAGAAAATGTGTTAGTCAAGGTGGTAGGCCATCGGACGGTCCATTTGGCTGTGTACAATGCGAGAGAAGATCACGTGCAATCGTCAAACCTATAGCTATAAGACAACCACGTGTAACGCAACTAGCCTTGGTAAGAAAACATTATGCCTATCATAATAATTTCAGATACTTTGAGCGAACAGTTCACAGGTTATTCAAGTATTTATAGAATTTAGATAATTTAGAAAAATTATCTTACCTCGATGCGACAGGCTATCCAAATGCCAGATGAACGTCTTCACCCAAAAATGTTTTCTTTTTACCCGGATAAAGAATGTTGTAGAATGTTTGGCGAACGATGATAGATAGCGCGATGACAACCACCAGATGCCGCTGTTCGGACGCATCACACGATTCGGAGGCATATCACATATTTAAAGATTATAAAAACTGATTATTTTCCGATTCATGGCATGTTTTTCATTATTTTTTTAATGCGTTCTGCAGAGAAGGGAGACTGGCATTGGTCGCAGTTTGGAATGAAAGGGAGAAAACAGGTTTGAGTAACACGGCGGATATCGCTCATATTGCACATACCACTCGGCCTACTTTTTTTTTTTTGACGACGTAGTTAAGGCGGCAGGCATGTGTTGCTGCAAAGTGCTGCAGGAAACCCTGACAATCCATAAATAAAATCAATCAATCAATCAACTAACCCAGTCATTAAAGCACGGGTTGAGACAGTCACAGAACTTGCAAAAGCGTGCACTGCTACGTCCTGCAAAACCCCACTCGTCCGTTTTTTTTTATTTTTAGGGAGCCCCTAGAAGGATATCGCAATGGTATTCCATCAAATAAACAGAAAATTAAAGGGGACCATCATGAAACCAAAAAATATTAATATAAATTTCTCCCTTTCAGTTTCTGATTTTTTGCCATAACATTGTAATATTTTTCAGTGTTCTGCTTATATAATAAAATACATTACTGCACTATAAATGTTTTAAAAATGTGTAAAACAGCAGATGACACTGCAAGGGGGAAATAATAATCACTGCATGATGTAAGGGGGAAAATATAACTCCTGCGTTGACCGTAACTTCTGTAAAACTCCATAGTTTTACATTTTTAGTTAGTTTCACATCTACATGAAACCAAGTCAGCAAAATTTATTTTTGTTGTGATTGAGTTTATTAAGGAAAAGAGAAGAGGAGGGGTTGTGATAACAGGACTAAAAACTTCTACCTTCATCAGTCCACTATTCATTTCTCCAGCTCTAAACATGCTGCTGCTGCTGCTCCTACTGCTGCTGTCACCAGTGAGTTACACTTGAAATCTTTCTTTTAGAAACACCTGATATTACACTGAGGATTTCTTCTTTTCTTTTATGTTGCTTTTTTTTGGTGCAGTCTCTGTATTATGCTTGTAAATGTCCTGTATACAACTTTAGTGTTTTTTACATGTGTGACTGCAGGGTGATGGCCAGGCTCAGCGTGTGTCAGGCGTGAGGAAGAATGGCTCGTGTGCGTGTGAGGTGAACTCTACCCTGTGGTCGTTCCCTGCTGTGAAGTACGAGGCCGTGCTGCAGCAGGTTGAGTCCTGTGGAGGATCTTTGAACACCCTGCAGGAACAGGTGACAACTTCAGTCAACCAGAATAATTTTACAGTGGGGTAAAGTACCCAAAAAAGATTTAAGAATGTATGAACCTGGTATCAGGAAAACACATTCAGTCATCAAGAAACAGGAGTTTCTGTCTGTGTGTCCCTGCAGGTGAAGTTGTCCAGTGAGCGTCTCCCTCAGATGCAGGCTCTGGTTACGAACATTACGGCCCGGCTGGAGCCTCACCAGTACCTGCACAACCAGGGGCTGTACACTGCCTTGTCTCTGCGCCACCTGGGCGAGGAGCTCAGCCAGGTGGAGACAGACATTGGTGCTGTTCACAGACAGCTTAACAACGCCCAAACACGAAAGCTCTCCAAAGAGGTAATGTAGC